TGACATCAAAAAGATGCTGATTGACTTTATCTAATTGGTTTTTGAAGACCAGGTCTTCCAACAATCTATTGGAATTCCCATGGGAACCAATTGCGCTTCGTTATCAGCAGACCTATTTTTTGTATTCATATAAGCAGAATTTGTGCAAAATCTTATGCGTGACAAGAAGAATACACTTGCTGTGGCCTTCAACTCAACATTTTGATATATCGACGACGTATTGTCAATTAACAATGGTAATTTCCATTCCTATGTGGATACGATATATCCTGGTAAGCTTGAGATAAAAGATACCACAGAGTCTGATACATCTGTTTCATATTTGGATATTTTACTTGAAAAAAAAAGTTAATGGTAATTTAACAACCAAGCTCTGTGATAAACGTGATGACTTTAACTTTTCTATCGTCAACTTCCCTTACTTATGCAGCAATATACCTTCATTACATGCATACGGCGTTTATATATCTCAATTGATTCGATACGCAAGAGCATTCTCTACGTATGAAAGATTTCTAAAATGAGGTAAATTATTGACAAACAAGTTGATGAAACAAGAATATCAGCATTCTCGTTTAAAGTCATCATTTCGAAGTTCTTTGGTCGATACAATGACCCTGTCAGCAAATACAATTTATCATTGAGTCAAATTCTGACGACTTTTTTATACTAATTGTAAGTCCATTATTTATACACTGAATTGACGACGGATTTTCCGTTATTTCCCGATCATGACAAGGAGCACAAGGCTGATATGACCGATCAGCACGGGATACTCACTCCCACATGGCACCTGATCCTGATTTTTTAGAGGCCCGTGTTTGCTCTGCTTCTATTTTGTATTGTTTTATGGACTTTGATATAGAATACTGTACGTTATCTTATCTCCATATCCTTTATGAATCAATTGAAAGAAGTTTTGACACCAAACAATTTATTTAAATACATAAATAACCAGTTTTCTTATCAGTACAGAATTTTTAAACGATTTTCTTTCTATTCTTTTCTTTTATAATTCAAACGATGCTTATTGCTAATTTCAATTTTCAAACATCGTTGTCATTTCAAGAAATAAAGAAAGCAATAGAAAATGTTTGATATATCTACAATATACAAAAACATCCAACGCTAAAATCAAACAATACGTTTTAAAACAATGCTGATTGTTTGCCATCTACCTTCTTAACAAAGTACAGATTTTGACTTTCAAGGTTTAAATGTTTCATGTTTTCTGGACCCAGGTCACTTTTCACATTACGAGTCTTTTACTTGTTCTTCATATCTAATATTTTTAAGGCGAAAATTCGTCAACCAATGAATGACAGCTTCCGGTTTGTAGTTTTCTGGTCCTGCGCCTTGGCCAGCGTACTGAATGACGTCATCATATATGATAAATAACCTCTCAGGAGTAGCGGCATACTTAATAGCTCCAGAATTGTCCATGGAATCAATAAGCAGCGGACATGGGCATCCTTCCTCCAACAGCAGCCGAGCTGCTTCTAGTCTCTCCTCTTGTGTAGTGTGGGAACTTAAGTGAGAGAATTTGGTACATAGAATATTCCATTCATCCACAGGATGAGCTTCTCTAACATAAATAATGATGAAGTCCGCAATGTCCGAGAAATCTGCAACGATTTGCTTGAACAACGCGAACTTCATTATGAATGGGGGTCAGGTGCAGCTACCAAAGTTCACAATCAGTGGTCTCCCTTGTTTCTGGAAATCTAGTAGCTTCATTATCTTTTCTGTCTGTACATTAACAAGACTAAGGTTTGGTGCCACTTTACCGACAATGGCGGAGCGTCGAAAGATCTCTGTGCCATGGTTTCTTATCTGAGTTCGAAGGGCCTTAAAGGACTTGGTAATTTTCATCCCCTTTGGTCCCTCTGAACGGACCCTGTCTCTGAACCGATCAAAGATCCAATGTCCAAAAGGCATGTGTAATAGAACTACTGTCATTAAAAGGAGGCGACACGCTAGCTTCACACATCTCCAAATTAAAGTAAGTCCTCTCCATGGCTGGGCCTGAGCTTTCCAGTCATAATCAAGGCTTTGATATGCCACCATCCTGAATTGCAAAAAAAAAAAAAAAAAAAAAATACAATTCAACTTGGAAATTATAATACACGTATTATATACCTGTATGTTCACCTTTTAACAGATCAACTACATGTATTTAAATGTAATTTGTCGTAAAAACATGTAAAAGGATTTTGTCAAAAACCTATCAGTATTTTTTCATGTATGCATCACATTCATATGTATTGGTTATAATTTTAGTTGAGTAATTTATGATAAACGTAATGAATTCAACAATTTTTCTATCGTCAACCTCCCTTATCCCTAATCACCAGTAAATAAGATTTATATCTCACAAAATATTGAATGCGCAAATCCATGTTCTATAGACAAACGATTTCTAAAGCTAGACAATCTACTGACAAATAAGTTGAGAAAACAAGGGTATCGATAAAAGTTAACATTTAGTAACCTCTATGGTTGATCAATTACCTTGTCGGTTAATACAATCTATCATTTAATAAAATGCTGACTGGCATTTTAGGTCATTTTCACTCTGAATTGTATACATTTAAAAATTACGATTTCCCGATATTGACGATGAACACACAGCGGATGTGAACATTCACTAGGGGATGCTTACTCCTCCATAACACCTGATCCCACCTCTGCTGTTTTAGAGGTGCACGTTTGCTCTGATTTTTCCTGTTTCAGTTTACTTGATAACTGTTCGTTATTTTCATATTTCATATTTCATTCCATTAATGGTAAGTAAAATCAATGCTTAAAACAATAAATTCCCCTGTTTGAATTAAAAAAAAACAATATGAACCCAAAAAATGAAGCATATATTGATATGTATTTTTTGACTAATATTGATTTGAAAATGTCATAAATAACAAATCTCTGAAATAAAAGAAATTGAAATTTTCTTCGGTGCTTAGATACATGACTTTGTATTGCTTTGTTTATAATTCTGTACAAAATGTTGCACAGCTTTTTAACCCTATGGCAAAATCTTATAAAATTCCCTCACTATACCTGGTTTATCATTACCAAGGTTACCACTTAAAATCATTATCTATGAGGAATATTGCTGATTTCTGAAAAAAAGGTTGTTTTTTGTGACTTATCCTTAAGTACCGTTCGTTATCTCTATCTTTTATTGGGCAAATTTGCTGTGTATATAAAAACTGTGCACGCTTGCGAATACAATATTAAATATCACAACAGGTACTTGACGTAACTTATTTTTCTTACATAAAAAATAAGCCCATACCTTATACCGGTGATACAGTCATGTATTTAAGGAATCACTGTCTAGTTAGTGTAGTATGCCAGGGCATTAGCGATAGTGGGAAACATGGGTTAATTTGCATAACGGGCGAATATTTCCATTTCATTGTGAAATGAAATTGTAGATTTAGACTTTAATAATGTAGACTTATATATTTAAATTACACGAGAACTTCCATGCCAATTTCAATAGTCCTCGCCCACTGACGTCAAACACAAAGGCAGCCGCACGAGATTTACATGCATATTTGGCCTCCTTAGCGTCAGACACAGAGACAGATGCGCACGAGATTTGGGCCCCCTTAGCTCCTGACCTATCGACGTGCCTAATTAACATTCCGGCAGAATAATCAAGAAATCAACTCCCCCTAACTTTCAAAGAGTTATCACAGAGAAAAAAAAATTAGAAATGGAAATATTATTAGTTAAAGTCAAGTGCCTGTGAATATCACCAAAAAAAAATCAATTATTCTACAAAGTCGTAGAAAAAGGAAAACATTTTTAAAATTAAGATACCATCATACCAAGTATCTAAATATTGAATACGGAAATAAACATTTCACATTTGACCGCTTATGATAATAAATGTATAATTTAATCAATAAAGTGAAATATATATTAAAAATCCATTCAAAATCCTTCCATCCAAGTCTTCCCTTTTCCTTTACCCTCTCCTTCTATTGAAATAAAATGGTATGTGCAATAAAATTCTTACCTTTGAACAAAGTTTTATGAAGTCCTTAATTCCTTTGCAAAATGCTATAACGATATACGGTTTACGAGAATGTATAAGTAGGTTCACAAAATAGAACGAAACGACACAAATTAGGTCAATGTCCTCTTACCTAGATAAAAAAAAATCTACGCATTTTATTAACAGATTATATAAGAACATTATTTTTTTTCTCCTCTTACAAAACCCATCTAAATTCAATTATTTTTATAAGTATTATGTCATTTTCTCTCTAAATCATTATAAATTCTTTATTTTGATAAATTAATTTAATAAAAATGCTTTTTAAAAGAAAGATTCAAATAATGGTTATTTCCATTCTTATGTCAATATGATATATCCAGGTGAACTTGAGGGTCAAGATAACAGTCTAGCAGACTTCTGTATCATATTAGGATATCTTATTTGAAAAATACGTTATCTAACTACCAAGCTTTATGATAACAGGATCACTAACTTTTCAAATGACTACTCGTACTTATCGTACCTTACTTATTTATTGACTGTGTCCAACGTGGTTAATCACCACTGAAGGCAATTTACAATTTTTTGAAGGCGCGAAGCCAAGGGGGAGCAGAACAAAATATCCTTTATCTAGTAAAAATATACTATGGTATCAAGTATTATTATCGACGGATGTTAACCGTATTTTTTCATAATTATACATATTGGGGCATCACCCCTCTCACACCCACTTTCTCGGTGGATCCCATTTGTACCTGCGTCTGACTCATCTTACAAGTTCAGTAAAACGTCTTTCATTGATTCTAAGACATAAGTTGGATCGATTCACTACCGCGACCAAACCCGGATGTGATAATGTAATATTGTGTAAACAACACGGTAAAATCCACAGGAATTTTAGGTAAATATTTCTATCGCTTCAGAGCTCAGATTCCTGTTCACTGTTTCTTAAAAACTGTAGACCTTACTATATCTCTAAAGCAGTGATTCGAGCTTGTGACCTAATTTAATTTGACATAGATTGTGTAACTCTTGAAATATAGTCATGCAATTTGCTGATTAATCTTTTTCATTAGGTCTACATGCTAAACAGCACAGACTAATACTTAAAACATTTATTGGAAGGACGATTTTTCTGAATTTCTCAAGGATACGGGCTTATCTATAGAGGTAGGATATTGACTGTGTATGCCGAAAAGTTTTTCAATCAATGAATATTTTTCTTAAATATACATAATAAATAAAATAAGTTCACTAGACCGCACCAACGAGGTGTGGGTCGATTATGCGACGACACGTTAATGCGATGACGATATGAAGCGAAAGGGCAATAACGATGAAGCGTTGTTGCGAGAGCGCAATGACGATGATGGGCAGCGACAATGCGATGACTACGATAAATTGAAAGCGCAGTAGCAATATAAAACGACGACGATGGCACGATACGATGAAATGATGTTCGCTTTATCGTTCTATTGCTCTTCACATTGTCGATACATCGCTCTATTACTCTGTCGCGTCATTGCGCCTTTTTTCCTAGTCATCGCGCTATCGACCCTTAAATGCCCGATGATGCGATAGTAAACTACTTGGCTCTATGCGGATTCCATTTAATATTATTCAAACCAATTTACCATGTTTACTGTACATATATATCTTTTTCTACCCACAGCTCCTGAAGTTTTCTTAGAAAGTAACTGTATTCATAAATACAATATATATACATATAACGAGTAAAAAAAATCAACAAATCATGTATCACTTTTATTATGCACTATTTCTTTTCCTTCTAAGGCAATAAAATATGAATATGATAAATTTTGATTTGTTTGCCTAACAATAAAATGATTAATGGCAGATTCCTGTGTGTCCGTGACTGATGGACTCCAGCACACAAACAAAGGAGGAAAAATAAGGTGTTTATCTTTATTTTGTTTGTTTCATAAAATTTTAGCATTAGCAATAATCCGTATTTTTAACTTTTTATAGATGAAGTAGATAAAGACAGAAGAAGGTCACGTAAGACGGTACTACAGTAGCGGTGGAATTACGTGTCACAAAATATTTACAGAATTACAGATGTAGTTTTTCTTCAGTGAATTTTATTGTTATATATACAGCTGATACATCATTACTGAAATATCCACCATTCACTTATAATATAATTCATCATTTCTTATTCTCTAGTTTAAAAATATAATACGAGGAAAATGGTGGACATTTTCTTGTACAGGTACATGTAGATTAATTTAATATCAGTTTCTCGATTAATTGAAACTTCGTAAATCTCTCTCTCTTTCTCATATATATTAATTAATATATGATTAACATTTACAGAATTTTTGTAACAAGTTACTGAGCCATGCAGCCTTTTAAGGGACACCATGCATATGTTCAATGGATCTTCCCATGTAACCATAACACCAGGTATTTGAATACAATATTTTGTTATTAAAAAATGCATGATACTGTTGAAGAGTACGTATTTCATTGACCAGCGTTTTCCAAAAATTCCCCCTCAATTTAAAAGTTACAAGGCGATCTTAGAAAGAAAAAAAAATGAATTAGATAATGTAAATTTCCTCCTGTTTTGCTTGCTTGTAAACTGAAGAGTTGTCTATATTGTTTTTCTGGTTGCCCCCCCCCTTTCTTTCAAAAAGGATACTTTTTAATATAGTTATTAAACATGGCTGTGTTTAATGTGACACTAACACTATGTATTTTCAGAGACCGTCCGGGATACTTCGGTTGACGATGTCTTGGTTTTTGTACTCGTTTTTGTCTCAGCTCTGGGGTTAATCTTCATCGTGTGTGGTGCTTACAAAATCAGGGAATGGTACAGGGGACGGAATAGGGGTAAACATTCATAAAACTCCTTGTATTTAGCCTTAAACTATTAAGTCTTACCAGCGTTTATAACACACCTCGTTTTTAGTCTTAAACGTTTAAGTTTTATCTATTGTTCATGTTATGATCCTCCTCCTACAGACATCCCCGATGAGCCTCCTGAACACGCAGACAATCCCCCTCCGTACCCCGGGAAACTGTCCAAATCAGACATCAATTACCTCCCCTCCTATAACTCAGCTGTCCTGATGCCGGTTATTTCGGCGGATACAGGGGGATCCACTGTATCTTCAGGGGATACAAGAACGCACCAGTGGCCCTCAAGTGAGGGAGGGACACTAACAGTTCCTCCGCGGGGAGATAATGTGTGTCAGACAACGTCTACGTCAGAGGAGTCCCGAATGACCTCTCCTGCCAGCCCAGAGGGAGCTGACTACGTACAATCCGATACCGTCCACCCGTCCATAGAAATATCTGACCACGTACAATCCAATATCGTCCACCCATGCATAGAAATATCCGACTACTCCAGTCACCCCTCTACAGACACACCTGACTCCCCCAGCAACTCTTGTTCTCCAGTTGTCTTTACTATGTAGAAAAAAAATAGAAATTTCTGGCCATATCACCCCAAACCTCCCACCACAGACGTTGATACTTTAACTTGTATGCTCCAACCAACAAGGACAAAGTTCGGTTCATTGACTTACATAAGTCATACATTATCTTTACAACTCAGTTCAAAGCAGCAGTGGGCAGACCTATTTATGATATCTTGAATAAAACCTTATTACTGTTTATGTAAAATTATTTTATATAATCATAAATGATAATATAGAAAAGGTATATTAAATTTTATCAACCCTTTTCTTTGAATCCCGAATTTCCTTTTCACTTAAAGGGATTGAGCATCATTTCGTGGACTGTGATTTGTTTGTTAGCCTGCATGGTCCTAAATATATTTATTGTATACCAAAAATATATGTTATAAAAATTCATTCAGATAGTTTTTTTGTTTTAATTAGTTTAAACAGCTCACCTGAGCAGAGTTGCTGAATCTCAAGTGAGCTATTCTGATCAAATTTCGTCAACTTACATTTTCATCAAGATTCTTCTCCAGAACCACTTGGCCACTTTCAACCAACTTGCCACAAAGCATCCTTGGCTAAAGGGATTCAAGTTTGTTCAAACAAAAAGCCACACATCCTTCAAAGGGGTTAATGGCAGTGTTTAAACAAATAACATCATCTTTCAAGAGGTTTCAATCTATTTTCAGAGTACAATCAGTGCAGTGACAGATCAGAGTTTAAAGATCAATTGAGGTCAAGGCCAGATAACTGGTGAAAAGTGCACATTTATTAATTTACAGGCCAGAAAACTAGTGAAAATTAAATTATATCCTGTTTCTTGCAGACATTACCACTTTCTCCCAGCTAGAGTAGATGCATGTCTCGCCATCAATTTTCAGATCATATGTTAAAATTCAAAGAAGCACTTAATTTTTTTTTCTTTGCTATTAGGCCAGTTTTCTTGATTGAGAATAGCTATCACTCAATCAAGCAGCATAATTTCAATTTTTTTTTTTTTAAAGATTTTCAAAACCTGATGATCAGATTATCTCTTAAAATCGTTTATTATGAACTTCAAAAGACGAAAAGAAATCAATTGTTCATGGAATTTAATAAGTAATGGTCACAACCAGCATTGCTTATTCACAAAGATCAACTTTAAAAGCCAACAGACAGGAATTGTATAAAATGCATAAATTAGACAACAATCTTATTCTATCTTCATTATATAGCAAATACAATTAATAATGAAAGTGTCCATGTTTCCCATCTCGCATACAAACTACTGACACAAAATCTCACTTATTCAAGGAAGGGAACTCGACAACAGATCTCAAGGATTCTCACCTGAGGGTGAATTTATACAGACTGCAGCTTAAAAACTCATATCAATGGTTACAAATTGTCCCAAGTATTTACATATCATGTAGAAACATGTAGAAGTGAACTTAAAGCCAATCAAATCAGAAAACAACCTTGCAAAATAAATAACAAACATTGTAATCATTTTTACATATTTTCTCATCCTAAATGTTTCCAGATAAAAAAAAAAAAACTCAGATCTATTTAACATGGTTTAGAATAAATTGCCAGCCTGAGAGTGTAACCTTAGAAGGTGATACTCTAAAGCTTTGTCAATCAAACTCATTAACAGTTTATCATCCTTCAGACTATTGTTAGAGAGGATAGTATTTTAGTTTAAGACATGTACATTACACAGGTACCTGAATTATGACTTATAAGCCAAGAGCTCAATGGAGATAAAACATAGAATACATACTATAATAAAATCACAGAAAAAAAATATGTATATTATACATATAAACTAAAAGGTAAATGTATTGGACGGCATTATTACCAAAACTTACAACAGAAATACTGATAAACTAGTAGAAAAAAGGTACATATAAAACTGGATAATTTAATACAGTGACTCGTAAATTATTACATCTATCACAAATTTGATACACTTAACATGTACTGTGAAATCACAAATTTTCGTTGGGGTTAAATTTTCATTGTTTCTGAGGTATGCAGAGACCCACGAATTCACGACCAACACGAAAAGTGAAATGTTACATACATAACTACTCAACAATTCTTCATCCACGAATTCAAATCCCAACAAACCAAGAGCTTTTTCTCAAACTACGAAAATTTGACCCCTCAAAAATATGTGATTTTACAGTATGTAATTTTAAAGAGAAAGACGGATATGCATCAAAATAAAGGATTTCTTCATTGAATCTTGTTAGCACTGCTATATCAATAGCTTTAAAAATGACATTAAGTAACTTGCTATACAATATCACAGACAGTGCTGCCATCAAGCTAACAACTCAAACATTAATAGGCTTTAAATCAAACTTCCGAACCATTTGCCTTAATTTTTAAATAAACCTTTTCAGTTGTCACTAAGTGAAATGCCCTCCTATGCTCCTATGAATTGTTGTTTTATAATCACTCCTATGAATTGTTGTTTTATAATCACTCCTATGAATTGTTGTTTTATAATCACTCCTATGAATTGTTGTTTTGTAATTGCTCCAACGTATTGTTGTATTATAATCACCAGAAGAGACAGTTTCCAGGAAGAGAAAGACGAGGTAGATCTAATCATGGTTCGAGGGTCACTTTGACACCAAGCCTCGGGCCGTGGGGAAAATCTGACTCTGGTCCTTCTTCGTCTGTTTTAACCTGCAGCAACAGTGAAAAAGATGATAGCAATGTATTTCAAGGTTCTTCATTCTACATCAGAGGTGGTTATTAAATAAATATTTCAAGTTTTCAAAGTCAAATTAAAACATTTGCTAAAAGTATTCAATAATGTCCATATTGAATAAGGTTGTTGTGACAAATTATCCTCATTAATATTATAAATCAACATATGCATGTTCTTACTTTGCAATCCTAGATTCCTTCTTCTTAGATTTCTTATTGCTAAACACAGAGGGAGTTCTGAAAGACAAAGACCTTCAAAGTAATCCACTATGAAACTTAGAAAAATAGTAGACTATTACATTTCTCTTGATACATTGTGGAAATGAAATTAAATTTAGGATTCTGGTGAAACAGAAATTTAAAAGTGAGACTGACTGCTATTTACTGAATAATCAGCTCTAACTTTAACTTACCCTCCCTCAATATCGATGTCTTCTTCATCCATCAGGGCCGCATCCAGCGCCGCCTGAATCTTTGGTGCCACCTGTGGTCCATCGTAATCTCTCGTCGTACGGTTCGGCATGTCCAGATCAATCAGGATAATGTTCTCTCCCTGACAAAAAAAAATTACATGTTCATGATCAGTGTTAAAAGAAAAACATTTAATTAAGGTTTCCATCTGTACAATTCACCCTGTAAAAATGCTATTGAAAAGTTAGTAAATATTCTATAAATTAGATACTTCGGTCTCTTTATCCTAAGGACAACACGAAGGTATTACCTTAAACCTTGGGTGACCTCCCATGGCCCCCGCCACTCTGGCATACTCAGACACTGGTCGTTTATTACCCAGGGCCGACACCGGGCGCTTGGCCATGGTCTGTGCACTGAACAGAGAAAAAAGGAAAACATACCTTACACTGGTTGTGCAGACAATCATCAATTTGTTTTTTCAAAAAGCCTTGAGTAAACATTTTGGATATGCATATACATCTGTAATTTTATGGTGGACAACATTCTACATAATAAATGGTAACTTAAACACTTTATAAAATTCTGTTGGCCAAAGGAATCAGTTCCCATTGTTTGATGTATTCTGTATACATCTGTATTATATAAATTTCCGTCTAACCTTTTGTTGGCCAGAGGAATCAGCTCCCATTGGTCTTCGTCCTCATTGTACCGAGCTCGGTTCTGTAACTTAATCTTCTCCTCAGGAGGGATAAAATTCTCAATGATCAGCATCCTGAAATTATAACATCATATGTTATCAACGCATTTATCACTAAATCAGTATAATAATTAGCACAATTCATGTGTTGTATTTGATTGGTATTTGAAAGAAATGAAAAACTGCTGCCAAGTTTCACATGCCAGAAAGAATGAAACAAGTTTATGACTAAAAGAAGCCTGTGGTCTATAGTGATCGTCATACTCACTTGAGATTGAGGTCTATGTTTTTACTCACTTGAGTTTGTGGACTGTCTATATTTTTCTACTCACTACAGTTTGAGGTCTTTATTCATATTCACTTGAGCTTGAGATCTACATTTACACTCACTTGAGTTTGAGATCCCTTGTTAGCTCCATCTGAGTCTGTTCCAGTTCCTGCCTCTCTTTGGAATGTTCTTCCTGTATATCAGCTATTTCTTGTTTTGTAGCTTGTAGCTTAGCAAACAGCTATAGGGATATGAACAAACATCAATAAATATGATAAAATAAATCTGGATAAAGTTAAGATCATCAGATTTTTTTAATCTCTTCATAAAACCCCTGTTCCTTTCTAACCTTTTTTAATTTCTTGGTTTTGATTTCCACTTCCTGTTGTAAGGACTGGAATCCTTCCTCCATTTCTATTGCCTTCTCTTCTCTCTCCTCCAATTTCTGTTGAATTTCTCTTTCCCTTTTCTAAACACAAACACTAAACAATATTAACATCAAAGCAGTTTGATATGTATAGGTTATGGTTTTACAGCAGGAAGACAAATCTTTGGTAAAATTAAGATACATTAGCTGAACTGAAATACTGTATACAGAGTTTGTTTCATTTTAAATTCGAATAAAAAGATTTTCTTTTTAAGATATAATACCGTTTACTTTGAATTTGTCCTGTTTTAAATTTGCCCACTTCCAACAAGTGCGAAAGGGGCGAAAATTTCCCTGTATACAGTAAGTAAATACATGTATGGGCTACATTATATAACTTGTCTAAACTGCAATTGTAATATACACTTGCACAAGAAAACATTAACAAATAAACAAGAATGTCAGAACTATTTCAAATGATTAATAATCATTGTACAGTTTAATTAACCCCTTGATACCTTCTGGTCGGAGATTTCTCGTCTCCTCTGTTCCAGCGCCCTCTGCTGTTCATTAGTGTGGTCCACAATATTCTTCCCTCCCATCAAAAGTTTGCTTTCCATGGCCTGATAATAGAAAAATTTCACATTTTAAATATTTTCCCAACAGAATATTTTCATCATGGAGTTCAAAAGAAAACAAATTCCCCCAAATTGGAATTTTTCAAAGTAAATTGGAATTTTTCAAAGTCCAAAAGGACATAACTCTGTCAAAAATGGCGCGATTCTATCAAAAACAAAACTTGACCTAGATAGTCATCCGATATATCTGTATACTAAATTTCATTTCAGTATGTGCAATATCTGTGAAGAAAATGAATGGAAACTGCATATAATTGGAATTTTTGTAAGTCCAAGGGGCATAACTCTGTCAAAAATGGCGCGAGCGTATCTAAAACAAAACTTGACCTAGATAGTAATCTGATATATGTGTGTACTAACCCCCTTCCCCGCAGTCACGCATTTTAACGCATATACCCTTTCCTATTTCTAACGCAAAATCACGCATATACCGTTTCCCCGCAATCACGCATTTTCACGCACTTTAAAAAGTTCATTTGATCGTTAATTTAATGCCAATTTACTTATATTTTATACTTGCAAAAATCTCATGAAAGAAGACAAATTATTTTATCATTAAAATATAGCGTCATAATATTATTTACGCTAGACTTTAGAGAAACGTGTACCACGCTAGAAGGTGCTTGCGGGGAAATGGTAAATTTCCTTTTCTATGACGTGAACATTTATTGTATGTTGCATAATAGTCAAGTAAGTTGTAAAGAGTTAAATTTCATTTCAGTATGTGCAATGTCTGCGAAGAAAATGAACGGAAACTGCAAATAATGGGAATTTTTCCAAGTCCAAGGGGTATAACTCTGTCAAAACTGGCGTGAGCGTACCAAAACAGAACATGACCTACATATTCAACTGATATATCTGTATACCAAATTTTATTTCAGTATGTGCAACGGTTGTGAAGAAAATGAAAGGAAACTAAGTGGACCGACAGACAGACTGACCGACAGACAGCAGCAAAGCAATATGCCCACCTTTGAGCCTCCCTTCTTCGAAAGGGGGCATAATTATGGTTGCTTAAATTGTCAACTGACCTTTATTTTAGAAGCTAAAGCATCTCTGGCTTGCTTCTCAGAATTCAGCTTTTCTTCTCTATCATGCACTTCTTCAATTAAACGATCTTTTTCCTAAAGAGAAAAAAAAACAAATCAGTACATTTTTTCTCCTCTTCTCCACACATCACAAAATATTTATCTCTGGATACTCTTGAAAGACAGACTGGTTATTTTCTTTCTCACTGGCTACAGTACATTACATGATTAAAGTAAAATCTTTCTGTAACATAGTCTTGTTACATTACATGCATGTACCTCTTGTAATATGTAATGATTAAAGTACAAACTTCTTGTAACAGAGTCTTGCTAGAGTACATACTTTTTGTAATATGGACTGGTTAGTGTACATACCCTAAAAATATCAACTTGCTCGTGTATATACCTCCCATTTAATTGATTGGATACAATACATATCATCTTATGATAGACTTGTTTCAGTACATACCTCTTGAATTAACATACTCTGATTTATATGTAACAGACCACCAATAACATGGTCAGGTTACGTAACTCCTGTAACATGGTCTGGTTATCTACCTCCTGTAACATGGTCTGGTTATCTACCTCCTGTAACATGGTTATATTATCTACCTCCTGTAACATGGTTACATTATCTACCTCCTGTAACATGGTCTGGTTACCTACCTCCTGTAATACATTATCTACCTTCTGTAACATGGTCTGGTTACATATCTCCTGTAACATGGTCTGGTTATGTACCTCCTATAACAAGGTTACATTATCTACCTCCTGTATCAAGGTTACATTATCTACCTTCTGTAACATGGTCTGGTTACCTACCTCCTGTAATATGGTCTGATTATGTACCTCCTGTAACATGGTTACATTATCTACCTCCTGTAACATGGTTACATTATCTACCTCCTGTAACATGGTCTGGTTACCTTCCTCCTGTAACATGGTTACATTACCTACCTCCTGTAACATGGTTACATTATCTACCTTCTGTAACATGGCCTGGTTACATATATCCTGTAACATGGTCTGGTTATGTACCTTCTGTAACATGGTCTGGTTACATATCTCCTGTAACATGGTCTGGTTACCTACCTCCTGTAACATGGTTATATTATCTACCTCCTGTAACATGGTTACATTATCTACCTCCTGTAACATGGTCTGGTTACCTACCTCTTGTAACATGGTTACATTATCTACCTCCTGTAACATGGTTACATTATCTACCTTCTGTAACATGGTCTGGTTACATATCTCCTGTAACATGGTCTGGTTACATTACCTACCTCCTGTAACATGGTCTGGTTACTGAGGATGGCCTCCTTCTGCTTCTCTAACTTCTCCTGCTGTTCCTTCATGTAGGCTTCTTCATCCCCTTCATCCCCCTCCTCCTCATCACCGGATTCTTCCTCAGATTCACTGATTATCTCCCCTGCAATAAAAAAAAATCATGTCGGCTTTCTAAAATAAAAAAAATTATTTATTATCTTGTTTTGTCATTTTTTTAATGGTATTGTATTCTCCCTGGCATAATCTTGTAGTGTATAATTTATATTTGCATATCCACTGCTCTCTCTCACTATGCACATGTAATCAGAGCTCTCTAGACGCAATTGCTTCTGCTATGATTGCAAATCCTATTTCATACTCATATAGTACAAGCTCTGCTACACTAATTATATGCGTTTAGAAGTATATATATGAAATGTTTTGCAAAAGGAGTAAATATAAGTTTTTAATATTAATATTTGGGGAAAAAAAATTCAGAATTACTTAAAATTGCTGATTTATATCTTTAAAAATTTAATTGTGGTTAATGTTTTGAATTGTATAATAAAACTTTTTAAAAATTGAAGAAAACTGCCATTATTTAATTTTTTTTATCATATTTTTGCATATTTGTACAAAGAACGATAACTCTTCACACTTGGGTGATAAAACATTCATAAAAAGCAAACTCCAAGAACGATTTCAACTCTTAAAAACAAATAGAAAAAATTTAAAAATCATACAGAAAAGCATTCTGGAGTTATAATGATTATTAAAGCATTCTCTTTTTTATCAAAAGGTTAAATTACAGTAGCCTATTGATTTTTGTCAGAGGGTTTCAATAACGCTGATCGATGACGTCACACCTGCATCAAAACAAAAATTAAGAGAATGTGACGACGGCGCAGCTTGTATCTGAAAAACTGTGTTTTAAAAAAGGCTAATACTTTATAAATTGTTTGTAATTTATCAGAGAAAAGGTGCAATGATCAGGTATACTAATATTAAAGCCGTGTGCTTTTCTTTACTGAAGACAACAAGCGACATCCTTATGTAAGCCAGGATTTCCTCTGATATTCTTGACACCATCAAAGAATGCAAATATAAGTAATAAACAACGATTATCTAGTGAACATGGCGTTATGAATAGCAATTGCTCTGCTGGCATATTTTCCATGATGTGCTAGCGCGCATCATGGAATATGCCAGCAGAGCAATTGCTATTCATAACGCCATGTTCACTAAATAATGTTGTTTATTTCTTAAATCTTTACCGTCAGCAGTCTGTCTGTGTCTTCTCTTCTTTTTACCATGCTTCCCTTTTCTTGGTCCTCCCTTCTTCTGCAAATTGGCCTTCAACCTGAATGAAATGAAATTTTTTTTTCATTCAAAAAATGATTTATCTTCCAGATAATCATTTTTACCCCCATAATCCTTTTAAAACATGTACAAAATCATTATATTGATAATAATTATAATGATTACCAAGTCTCTGAAACTTTTTGTATGAGATTTATTTCAATTTAATTGTAAATGTAAAAGACAAAACTTAAAAAAGAAACAAAAAATGTTGTAGGAATTTTAGTACAGAATATCCCAGTAAAACAATGTCATTTTAGTCAAGGACATTTCGAATTTCTTTCTATAACAGCTGACCTTGCGATTTCCTCCTGAAACTCTCTAAGCAGGGCATCTTTTGGATCTTCATTGATCTTTGGTTTGTTCTTGATTGCCTTTGCTCGATTTGCATACCTGTAAAAATGAATTCTTGGGTACTCTTGTAAATTTTACACATTTCTTTTTTATACTTTCTCATGAAAGTTCAATTATACAAGAATTGCACTCTATTGCTGAAGAATTAATAAAAATGTTGTACTGTGTGAACCATAAATAATCTTTCTGAAAATATTTCTTTGGTTTGCTAAGATTTGGTCCTTTTACATGACCTAAATGTAAGTACATGTAAACTCCATATTCGTCAATAAACATTATGAACCCCTCACCTTAATGTGCTGAGTGACTCGTCATAGTTATAACTGGCCGGACCAATGTTAGCCACCATCACAGTTTTAGCATTGCCTCCCAAGGAATCTGCAATTGTTTTTTTTACATGTGGTTTAATTCAAATATCAAATATATAACTTTACTAACAAACTGTGTTTTCTATTGTGCAAAACTAAAACAATCTGATATTTGATCTGTTTAAATACAAGTTTTTGAAATACATAGAATCTTCTGATACTTTACAAAGCTTCTCATCTGGAAGAACTTTGAGTCAACCAATCATAATATTACTATAGTGAAAATTGTAATCAGTAAATATCCCAAACGATGACATTAGGTCCATGCATACCAATTATGCATGCAAAAGGATCAAACGTATTATTTTAATCAAAATGAATTAAAATACGAGTGGGGTCTGGATACTCTTCCAGACAGCTTACCTTGTAGAAGTCGGGTCAGTTTGGCATCTCTGTACGGAATGTGAGTACTTTTACCATCCACCAAGGCAGAAATGACATTGCACAAAGCTGAGAGGGAAAGGTTAATCTTCGTAGCTTCCTTAAGTCTTGTACCCTGGAAAAAAAGGTATTGAATATTAGATCAAGAACTACTGTGGAATCAATTCATGGGGTCCATGTTCATGGGCGATCAAAATTTTGTTGGATTGAGGGTACATAATAAACTTTGGAATAACTTTGAAACAATGTGTGGGAATTTAAATTTGTGGAAAAGGGTGACTACAAATATTGGTCCCCAATGAACAATGATGATCCAACAGTATGCACATCTTTTTGAAGATGTTCTAAATTCCAAGTCTGCTATTTTTTTTTTTAAATTTATGTTTTCTTTTTTAAATGGGGTAGGTTTCACAAACTAGCTGATTCTGTTTAACCATGTTTTTTTTTTCATTTTCTTGTGTGATACATACATTTTTATTGTTTCATTTTCAAGCAAAAAACACAATTTCAGAGTACTTCTTTAATTCACTTCAAACTCCATAATACATGTATGTATCTCCGATCTATCGCAAAGTAAAGCAACATTATAATGTGTACATGTTCTGGAGGGTAAACTCAAAATAAATTTTCTGTTTGGTTGTTTTTACAATCAATCTAACTTGATGCATATCCATCTTAGTTTTCTTTATTTGGCTTATTTTTAAATGCCTGACTGATGTGTTGTGATGTATGGTGAACCATACACCCATAAATAAATAATTTAATTACAGGTACGTAACAAAATCCAGGTGCGTAGCATCGATTTTGAAAGTGGGGGGGCCAGCCACAGAAAATTTTTTTTTTACTTACCTGGAAAATTGCCCAAACTCGAAAATCCTATTTCGGGGGGGGGGGGGGGGGGGGGGGGGGGGGGTAGAAGCAAACTTTTGTCAATAACAATTCCTTTCCATATCCATTTTTTAAGCTTACAATACTATATTCCCTTCATATTACTTTACTATAAAATGGTGGGGGGGCAAACAGCCTTTCAATGAACATTTTCAATAGTAAAAGTATTGTTGGCAAAAAAAGTGGGGGGAGGGCCAGGCCGCCCCTGTTGCTACATCCCTGAAATCGTTAATGCCTATTGCCAGATAAGTTGCTAATACTGAGGGTAATATTACAAATTGGTATTTAAAATACATCTAAAGCAATCAGATTTTAGAATTTATTGAGAAAGAGCAATAATTTCTGTTGGTACATACAGTGGCTCCAGTTTTGGATTGCCTTTCACTTCCTGCCAGATCCACCAGATTCAGACGCCCGACCCGAATGTGGTTCTCCCCTTCCTCATCCTCCTGTAAAACAAAGGCATCATTAATTAATAAAGAAAAGGAATACATGTTAATATATCATGAATTAGAGAACTGCAACAGAGTATCATAGTGCATATTGTACAATTTAATACGTTTAGCTACATTTTCTCTACAGATTTCTATTTATCTATATACAGTGTATATATCTGTGACCGTACCGTGCTGCATTCTATGGTGATGATGAAAATGGCATGAGATCTGGAGCTGTGTTCATTCATGTCTGTGGCTCTAAAAAGACAACAAAATCAACTTAACCTTACAGCATAGACCCATTCAGTCAGTTAAGCAGTACACACAGACTTTAATTTCAATTTTATGAAACATTGTCATTTCTTATATAGCATTTCCCACTTCCCCTAAGCTTTTGGGAGGGGATAAGTAAGTTTAATAGACATGTGTCTATTTAGCACCTAACACATTTACATGTATCTCCCTTCTGATGCTTTATATACCTACCCCACAGCTCTATTCTGGTTCCCGACATTCATCACATGTTCTATTTCCTTCACACTTTTGGTAACAAATGAAGAGAGATCCTGTAAACACAGTAAAAACTTCAATCAAATGGACAAGATTCTCTGTCTCATTTACTCTCAAATTAAGTCTAATAATAATTGCCTTACTATTAATTGATATTTCTTCATGAATAGTATACAATCTAAATTTATTCCTGTATTATGCATCGTCTCAAGCCACGGTCCGGAGTCCGCATATAGCTCTCTCCCAGAATGGGAGAGGATCGTACATTATGGCCATGGTTTGCGACGATGTGTATTATGATGCTCTTTAAAATCCAATAGCTTCTCTCTATTAACTTATATCCCTGTATATAAGTAAGTATATAAGTAAGTTGTCTACCTTTACGTAAACTCCTGTGTCAGGGCGCTCTTTAAGCTCCAGTCGTTTCTTGTGATCTTTGGCTAACAAGTCTCTTATCTCTTCCTGTGAACAATTTTAAAATATCACTTAATAAATGCCCTCATAGATTTTCCATAAAACCTATTCCTTCGACATATCTCTATATGTATGTAAGCATATTACTGAATTATTTCAAAATCTCATTTTAAAATCTTTCCATAATTTTTATTGACCAGTAGTTAATGCTCTTTTGTACCTGATAAATCTCCAGATATGAAGCCCTGATCAAGTATTGTTGATTTTGGGTCCTGGCAATGTGTTGAAAAATATGTTCAAAGGAATTTGGTATAACCCCTCGTAACTCAGGGTCATTCTTTGGACCTTTGGAAAAAGAAAACAATGTAAGTAAATAATAACATTATCAGAAAATGAGTAAACAATCAAATTAATGTTTCACTGCTCAATGAAGTTAGTCTTACGGAAAAATAAAGCATGTACCTACCCTGCATTGTGAATGTTTTGCCTGTGCCTGTTTGTCCGTAGGCAAAGATTGTTCCATTAAATCCCTCAATCACAGACTGTACCAGGTCTCTGAAGGTTTCATCGTATAAATCTCTCTGTTTGGAACTAAAAAAGTAAATATGCTTTAACTTGATAATTCTATTCAATCATAATGAAGTACTAATAAACTGTCATTTTCATAATGTATATTAACTTTGAAAAAATAAGATATTAAAACATTTGAAATCAAAATCTAAAAATAATCACAAAATCCAAATCTGAAAATAATCACAAAAACTTTCTTACTTCCAATCATACACGGCATCAAAGGTGAAAGTTCGGGGAGGTTCAGAGTTCGATCCCTTTGGATTATGGATAACAATGGATCCTTTACTAACGTCCATATCCACAATTCTACAACCAGTTTAGCAAGGAGACAATCAATATCAGAAGTTTTTTGTAATCTATCTAGTATCTATGCCAAATATGGAAAAACATTCTTGACATAGTTATGGATCATGCTCAAACTGATTTTTTGTGTAATAATACAAGGGCAAACATTTCTTCACAGACTTTTACTATATCTTTAACAAACAAGGTTCTTTACCGTTCATGTCCATCCCTAATTTCCTTCTCATCCAAAGGTCTGCATCTCACCACTACCTTCACACACTCCGCATTAGAGCTCGGCTTCAACTTAGACTTCAATAAAAACAAATCATGTATGTGAAACATATATAATACGAAAATTAAAATCAAGATGCATACAATAAGAGTATGACATGAAAGTGCTAAAAAAATCAACTTTCCATAAAAAATCTTCCCTCAATCATATGCAAAGCACGTACCATTTTTGGAGAGGGTTGTTGTTGTACTGTATTCTTTTTCTACCTCTGCTGATCTAAAATCAAAATCAAAGAGTACATATATAACACAGGTCCAGTACATACTTCAAATAGCTACATAGCTAAAATCATCTAGCTTTATTTAGCTACCTCAAGTAACTTTATTATCCCCTCTCAACAGAGTTAGAGGGAATATAGTAATACAATCCTGTCTGCTCGTTTGTGGGTGAATGAAATAATTTTGTGCGATATGGAAGTGATGCATTTTGCATTGGGTTTGATGTTGATGCTGCCTTGATTTATAGGTATGCTCTATGCTAGGGGATGCTCCACCTTGTGGTGCCATTGTAAGTATATGTTTACTTATAGCAAGTGCAGCAAGCAGTGTGCAGTGCTGCTCACAACTGCAAGCTCCTAAAACAAAGCCTGGATAAAAAGAAAATTCAGACTGTGCACATTGATCAAAATGGATTATTTTTCTGCAGTTACCGGTTGTTCCATAACCCTTTGCGAAATGCATCTTGCGGCAAACTATGTTCACACGGTTACAAAAAGTTCCAAGGAAAAAAAAAAACACACTTTGCTTTTAATGGATATATAGCAGATAAATAGTAGATTAAACGTTCCTGATTAAAGTTTGCATTGTTCAGACTTTGATTTGATCGAACAACATGACATCAGACTCTATATGCAGCAAATGGCACATGTGGTTTGACAAGCCCGAACTTAATTAAATCTGAGTAAGTATCTACACTCACCCTAACAGTTGCACTTTAAATATAATATGTTGACAATGCGACCGTTATGGCGAGCACAGATATTTCTTTTGTTATAATTCAGATCAGGCTTGTCATTTAAATGTCAAACCACATGTGCCATTTGATGCGTCTAGACTCTGACGTCACATGATGACTGATGTCACATGATGTCGTATGTAAGCTACATTATTAAAAACAAGCCTGAACAGTGCTGAAAGTAAATGAAGAGCATTTTCGTTTACCATTCATGTTCAACATTTATCCATTAAAGGAGGGTGTCTTAACTTTTAGTTGAACTTTTGCTACAATTCTCGTGAGAACGTAGCTTTAAAAAGTGATGCATTGTGGGTCTAGAGTCACTGAGGAAAAAAAATTCTGATAAATAAATGTGCAGTAGTCCGAATTTTCTCTTCGCCCAGTCGTTGCTTTAAGAGCTGAGCTCGCAGTGACGAGCGTCACTTCGCAACGTTTGCTGTGTGACACTCACTATTATTTATAGTACTATAGGAAATTTTTGAAATAGCAACATCCATGCCAACTTTCCCGATTTAGGCGGGATCCTCCCGATTTTACCCTTTCATCCCGCCTTCCCGATCGGGAGAGAAAAATTGCCCTAATTTCCCGATTTGAAAAAAAAATCACCTTAAAATTTCAGATTTTAAAAGTTTCCCTACCGCTGAATTTTGACAATCGGGATAACAATGTCAGATTTGTATATTCAATGCACATAGATAAGTTTCATTGTTTATTTAACCAGGAGTTATAACTACTAATTAGCCACAGGAAATCTCTTCACGTTTGAACGCACGCAGTTGTCCAGGTACAAGTAGCTTATAGCTTGGGGCAATATTAGGGGATTATCTTGTCAGTTTTAAGGGGTATTCAAGGTAAAACACATACATTAACGTGATAACTGTTAGTCATTTTATTAAAAACATAAATTAAAGACAATAAAATACTAATTAAAACATAAAATCGGAATCCATAGAGATCGTTTTTTGAAAACGAAAGTAGAAAACTATAGGGCTGGGTATTGGCCCGAGATTTCGTATTGCGATATATTGCGAGAATAACGACAAAAGTTAAAAAGAAAAATAAACCTGCCTTGATTTAAAGAATTTATCTGTTTTTATATTGCAGAAAAATAATCATAAACTGACTGAAATCAGCCCTGTTCAGGCTTCGGTTTGGTAAAGCAACATGCAAACGACGTCATGTGACATCAGTCTTATTCGCAGCGAATGTCACGTGCGGTTTGACGAGTCCAATCTAGCCTAAATGAAAACTGGATAAGTATCTGCGCTCGCCCTAACGGTCGCACCGTCAACATATTATTTCATTCAAGAAGTAACTGTTTGGTAACAAATTAACTGTTTCCATATACAGCCCCTTTCAATTTTAAGTTCCCATTTACGAAGATTCTAATTTAAGAAATGTTTGATTTGGTAACTAAATAAAGCTACTTCAGGTAGGCAAAGCTATGTAGGTAATTCAAGCTAGGTAGCTAAAATCTAGTGCTTGTACTGGACATGTAACAAACAAGAGACATTACAAAAAACTGTCACAAAAAAAAGACAATTTACCCCTTTAAATGGAAAGTTCTGTTCAATTATTCGCAAAAAAGATTCTTGAAAGTATCATTGTTTTAAAAAATGCTTAAAATACTTCAAAACAAATCGAAGTCCTGATCGTTCATGCAATGTTTGGAATTTCGTCCGCCATCGCTGTCAAAAATATGCAACGCATGCGTACATTCATTAAAGAGCGCCATCTATTTCTGATCATCATACCCGATCAAAATTTTGTAAAGTAGTCGACACTTCTCTCATAGTGCTAAACTCTTAAATTAAAATCCATTTTTCTGTCCAATTACAAGGTTATATTCTCAATGTCAAAATTTAGAGCCCCAGTTTTCACGAGAATTGGGTTATATATGCAGTCTGGCGAGTACCTCGAAAACTTCTAGATAAAGAAATCAATGTGTCATCTAGACAAACCCACGAAATGAAAACTGTATTTATTAAGCAATGTTACAACGCACTTTGAAAAATTACGCACTTTGAAAAAAAAATTCAAAGTGTGTTATTTAATTGATTACTTTTTGGTGATAAGGTCACTTCAGGACCTGAGATATTGACTTTTTTTTAAACAAAAATATATTTGGGGGTTTTGATAAATGTTATAAAAGGGAAATGGGTCTCTTAGAAAAAATGGAGAGATGACTGTTTAAAATTAATATCATAATTTCGTTTCTTTTCAGAAATTCTTGTCTACTAGTCTGTAATAAGTTCAGTTGATGGAGAAGGGGGGGGGGGGGGCTAAAAGTAAACGACTGAAAGCATCGCATTTTTCTTAAGAAAAAGGGGCGATTTGATTTTTCAATACTATGCATAGGTGTCGGAACCGGGGGGGGGGCTTAGCCCTCCTCGTTTTTTGCAAATATATACATAATATAGGCATTGGAAATTGGGGTTTACCTTTTTTTGTTGGTTAGCCCCCCCCCCCCCCCCACTTTCAATTTTCTTCCGACGCCTATGCTATGAAAATTCTTTCTCTCTCATACGTTAGTAGTATAAACGGTCTGGATGGGGGGTTCAACTGAGTGCACTTTTGGGGCTGGGGTGAGATAGGGGGTTCAACGGAGTGCACTTTTGGGGCTGGGGTGAGATAGGGGGTTCAACGGAGTGCAGCTCCTGGGGGGGGATAGGGGGTTCAACTGAGTGCAGCCCCTGGAGGGGATAGGGGGTTCAACGGAGTGTAGCCCCTGGTGGGGGATAGCTGGGTCAACTCAGTACAACCCTAACCCTAACCCTAGGGGGGGGGGGCTAGGTGGGTTAGTACATAGCCCCTATATGTCCTATACGGGGTGTTTACACTGTGTTTACATTATACACTAT